ATGTCTTACACATTTTGAGGATCTTAAAGTGAAGTTGGAGAGTGAATGCCATGTGAAGGAGAAGGAGGTTAGTGCCTTTGCTCATGAGCCTTACAATTAACTCATTTAGCCTGAAGGGGACAGCACTTGCTTGATAATCTTGATTTTGAAAGACCTTGCATACAGTAACACACCTGTCTTTGTATTCCTGTTGTGACTAAAACACATGTGTATTTTGTGTTGCTTGACTTTGACTTGTTGAGGTTGCTATGCTTCAAGAAGAACTCCAAGAAAAAGAAAACAATCTCAAAGATGTTTCACTAAAACTCAAAGAGGCACAGCAAAGCTCAAGTGTGATAGAGGAGTCAGCAAGTAAGAATGCATGAAACATTTGTGTCAGTCTTTTCTTGATTTTTTTTTTTTCAAAAAGTCATTTACCTTCACTTTTGTTGTTTTTAGGGAAACATCAGAAATTACTTCAAAGCGTTACACAGGACCGGGAGGCACTTGAGGAGAAACTCAGGTTGACAGAGCAACTCAAATGGGAGATGGAGGTTTGTCCTTTTGCAAGGTCTTAATACAAATGTACTTACTTGTAAGGATAGTACATAAATATTAAAATAATTCATGTTATGCATTGTATTGCTGTTCGTAGGAAAAACAGAGAGCCCTAAATTACAAACTGGAACAAAGCAAGGAGAACCATGAGAAAGTTCTTCAAAAGAAAGACGATGAACTACAGGAACTAAACAACATCAAAGAGCAACAGTCAAACCAGCTTTCAGAGATGGAGCTGACAGTGAATTATTTGCAGTCCTCACTAACTTCTGAGATAAAGAGGTATGTTAATGAGACTATATCAGCACAAGACCTAGCATAATTTTTATTATCACAGAAAAAAAAAATTTAAATATTTAATCAAGAACTTTAAAAATTGATTTAATCTTTTATTAAATGCTTTCTTTGTTTTCACAGGGCACAAGACCTTGAGACAAAGATAAGCTCCTTGGTGAATGAACTCAGTGACAAAAACACAGAGTTGGGTGTGTTAAAACTGTCTATGGTAATGAATAATGATATTTTTTGCATGTTTAGTACCATTCTAAAATCAGTGGTTACACTATCTTGATGCAGAAGTTATCAAGGGGCAGAAAGAGGACCATAACAAGCAAATACAGATACTCAAAGATGAGCTGGTTTGTATTTTCTTCTGTTTGAGCATTCACATTCTTTGAATTGCAATCATGAAACCAAGCTCATAGTGTTTCTGTAACAGGATGAGAAGTCAAACTCACTCTCGTCTATAAAGGAGGAATTAAAGACAAGGGAGGTTCAGGTATTCCAGCTTATTGCCGAGCTTGAAGAGCAACAAAGTGAGGCAAATGATTTGAAGGTGAGGAAAAGGTCATTAAGCATTCATTGACATAGCAACATAGTAATTTAAGTGCTGCATGTGCTTCATATCTAACAATCAACCCTCTCAGGATGAAATGGAGAGTGTCAGCACAGAAAATAAAAACATGAAGGAAGCCCTGACAAAATCTAGACTTGACAATGAAGAGCTGCAAGAAGTTGTAGTTTTAAAAGAGGTAAATATGTTTACATTTTGATTATATTAAAAAGTATGTGTATTTATATGAGTTTTATGATGAAACATGGTCAAATAACTTAAATACTCACATTGAATCTGTACATCTTTCATCCAGGCTAAATTAAAAGAGGTGGAGGAACAATTGTCAGGTGCTTTGGAGAGCAGTTGTAAATCATCAAAAGAGGTAGAAAGATTGGAGAGGGACATAATGCAGCAGAAGTAAGAGCATCCATATAATTAATCTTTATATCTCGGACTGAGCCACTCATGTTAAAAACAATAAATGTACATTTGTTTAGCCATATGCTCCTCTAATTTATTGCTTACTGTTTCATATACTATACAGATAGTGTAAATAGATAGATGAATGTGTGTTTCGAGTTATTATATGTAGAAACAATAATGTACACTAAATTTTGCTAACACTTTAGATTGGGACCAATTCTCACTATTAACTAGTTGCTTATTAACATGAATATTACTAGTATATTAGTGGTTTATTAGTACTTATAAAGTATATATTAATGGCTTATTCTGAATGACCATATTCCTTAATCCTACACCATAAACTTAACAATTTACTAACTTAATCTTACTAACTATTAATAAACTGTAAATAGGAGTTTACTGAGGCAAAACTCATAGTCAATAATTAGTTAATAGTAAGAACTGGTCCCCAAAATAATGTGTGACCTACATTTCTTATAAGAAAATAAGCTATAAAAACATTGTAATGTTCATTTAAATCTCATTAAATGAAGTATTTGGCCGTTCTGCTATTGTACCATTGAAATCCATTCAATATTTTATGGAAATCTCTTTTTTTCTTCTTAAAGGGAGAAATATGAGGAGCTGATATTGAAGTTTAATGACCTGCAGATACAGAAGGACACCATTCAACAACAGGCTGATAGTGGTGCTTTAGAGAAGAAAGTCCTTCAGTCTCATCTCATGGTTTGTAAATGAAATCAAATCTCTGTATGTTGTAAATATGACAACGAGATCCTCAAATGCTGTATGTTGTGGTTTTTCTTTACAGAAAAGCGATGCAAATGCAGAAAGAGAGAAGACAGAAATAGAGAGACTTGAGAGAGAGAAACAACAGCTTCAGTAAGATTAGAAGAGACTTTTGTCTTGTAACATTTCAAATTTGGTTTTATTTGTTATATTTTGTCTTACATATACAATTTCATATTCCAGGGAGCAGGTGGATATTTTATCTGCAAAAAGTGCTGGGCAGGATGAAGAGAGTAAGAATGTTCAGCAGCAGTTGAAGGAGAGTGTGCGTTCTTTTTTTTACTATTTTATTATTTTAGTTGAGTATCATCTCAAGTATCTAAACATTATTCATGTTAAATCAAAATCACACCAACAGGGCAAAACCGCAAAGCGGGAACTTCAGTTAAAAGACAAACAAATCAAAGCACTGGAGTCAAAGGTAAAAAAAATCATATTGTGACATACATTACACTATTGTTCTCTGTACTCATTAAACACATTTTTAAATATAATTTTTATTGATTAATTTTTTTCAGCTAACAAACACTAAAACAAAACTAGAGACCAAAACAAAAGCTAAAGAGGAATGTCTAAACGAGGTAGATCATTTTTGTGATAATTTGTGACAAGTTTTTTGTGACAAGATTTAATACACGTATACATCATACATTTGAAGTAAAACAGTGGTCATGTTACAGTGTTTGATATATTTCTTGCAGATTATTAAATTGAAGGAAGATTCAGAAAGTATAGAGAAGTGTCACAAGGAGGAGCTTCAGAAAATAAGCTCTGACCTCAAAGACAAATCAACATTAGAGGCTCAACTCAACCTTGAGGTGAATTTTTTTTCATCAAATGCTATAACTGAAGAATTAAATTAAACTTGATGCAAATAAAAAAATATTTTTTTTTTGTAGGTGCAGAAACTGAAGCAAACAGCCATGGAGGCACTGAAGAGTAAAGATGACACAGAAATCAAATGCCAGCAGAAGATATCAGACATGGTTGCTTTGATGGAGAGGCACAAGGTCATTAATATTCTTAATAAGTGGCCTCTGAAATGATACAATATTTTCAGTTCTTAAACACTTTTTATTCACTTAAATGTTGTTCTTTTCTTGGTAGCATGAGTATGACAAAATGGTAGAAGAAAAAGATGCAGAGCTGAGTGAAAAACGGATGAGAGAGGCTGAAGTCAGTGCAAGCAAAGCATCTCTGGTAATTATTTTACCTTTTTATGGCTTAACTTGACAACTTGCAATACAAAGCTTGAAATGAATATCATACTCAAAATAACATAGTCATTAGATGCCTGAGATGTTAATTATTCCATCCGGTCCAAAATATGGATTTATAAATTCATTGGAATCTTTGATGCTGAGTTGTGTCCTTGAAATATTTAATCCAAGGTTGCTGTAGCACTATTGTCATTTTAGTAGATAATGTGCATTTTTTGGATTTACAAGTCTCTGCTAAAAACCAAATAACCGATAAATTTAGGAACTGGAGCTGTCTCACCTGCAAGTGGAAAATGAAGAGCTTAGACAACAACTTGAAAAGCTCAAAGGAGAGAAGATGGCCTTGAGGACACCAGTCTCATCTCTTGAAAAAGACACACTTCAACAGGTGTTGTATCTTGTCATTTGAGATACCGTAAGTATACATGGCAATTTAAAATGGACAGTGCGATATGAAAATATTGTTTTAGGCAAATGAAATCAAACCAAAGAAAGGAAGAAACAAGATCTCTAAAACTCAAAAAGCTGACATCACAAAGAAGGCCGTGTATGAACTTTTAAATGAGGATGAAAATGAAGCATCAAGAAATGCATCTTACACTCCTGCTGTAGGTTTTTTCCCATTATCTTTGTCCATTTTGTGCATTCTTATTTTTCACATCCATCAACTTTTTGTGTGTGTGTGTTTTTGTTTTGTTTTTTGTTATTGATGCAAGGGAACGGTGAATAAAGACCTTCATACCCCATTATGGAGCAAAACGACTAAAACAACACCTCAAATAAAGGTATGGGGGCAACCTGAACTCTTTGCACTATTCATCATTCATCTTGAACATTTATATGAGCCAGTTTGTTTTCCGCTTCAGTCATTCAGAATTCGCACACCACCCACACCTGAGATTACAGGGTCTTGGAAGGAAAACATTCTGAAGCTGGATCCAAAATCAGACAACTCTGACAGCAATGACATACTGGTAAATTTTATCTATTTACATACCATTGGTATAGTGCTATATACAAACAGTGTTTCAGTGATCTGCATTTTTATTTACAGTTAGTTTTATTTGGTTTGTGTTTCGTAATTCCCTTAGAGTTTCTCTCCAAGACCTGTGAAATCAAAGAAACCTATGCAACCAAAAGAGGCAGACACAGGGAGTTTGGAAATGTTCAAGAAGGTAAAAAATAACATTTGACCAGTTTTGTCCCAATTTTATTCCTTTATGTTCTTGTTTTGACTGTCATCATGTGCAAATGATGTACAGGTGCAGAGTTCTTTTCCATGTAAGTCTCCAGGAACAGTGCTAAAACTGGCTGCAATAAAGAGAATGCGAGATGCTGGATGGACCACCGTTAGCAATTCAGATAAGAGGAAAAAAAAAGTAACAGACAAAATCTTTGCTTAAAAGTATCAAAGCATCAAACAATTTGTGATTATCCTTTTTTTTTTTATTAGAGTACACATACTCTTAAGACAATAGCTTTTGATTGCTTGCAATTTCTACTGATGTTTGAATAAGTAGAAGTATATTTATATTATTTATTCTAAGCTCTTCGTACACCGTTTCTCTATATATAGTATGTTCAGTTAAAATACAGTACCTTAACATGTTTATCAAAAAATGCTGGTTCCTGGTATTGTTGGTTGTGTTTTTCACATATTTGTATTTACATTTGTGTTTATCTTTTATGTTCACTAATTTCATTACTTCAAATGTTCAGTTTCAAAGTTCAAAAAATGTAACTTTAAAAACAGTCTTTTCCCATGGACTCTTCAACTAAAAGTTTTTTTTTTCTAATAAAAAGAGGTTTGTTGCTGAGATCTTAAGGCTCTTGGTCATGTGCATGGAATGTCTGAAAGGTGGAGGTCTCATGGTCGAATGCTCTGTCTTGATCCTCTCTCAGAAACTCCAAGCGGAACTGAGTGGGTCTGGAAGCAAATCCAGATGCATCTGTCTGGAATTCTTCGTTCTGCACTGTCATGGTGGGGTTGTAAATCTGAGGGCCATCATAGAGTCCTCCTGAAATGACCAGCGTGTCATCTGGCAGTGCAAACGGCTCACCTATGAAAGGGAATTACAGACAATAATACCATTCATAGTGAATATTTATTCTTTATGATTACTGTAAAGTAAATGCTAGCTTAAATGTGCTTGCTCATCGCCCATGACTTGACGGCATGGTGTTGAAATTGGCCTGACAACTTTTTCAGACTTTAACCTATTTCTAAGGTGTAATGAGTCGTTGCTAGGTCTTTTAAAAATTCTATTTAAAAAAATCATGGTTACCTTAGCAAAACACCACCAATAAGATAATTGATCATATTACAAGGAAATATTAGTTTTAACAGATAGGTTTTCCAAACCTGTATCTTCATTCTGGAGGCGGCGGTGAGTGTATTGGACACTTCTCTCTTTGCTCCTGCCGAACTTGTACACAAAATGTCCCAGAATTACCAGAACTATTACACCAAGCAGAATGCTGAATAAAATGGTCAGAGATTTCTCTGAATGATTCAGGCCACCGTCTGCTTTAAGATAGAGGTAGGAGTAGTTAGGCAGGGTAAACATATTTCATTATTTGGTTTACATTATTAATGCTAGGTTATGTTCAGACCTACCTTGAGATTCATTGAAGGAAGCTGAGCTGTTTTGAGTTACAGCAGTAGAAATAATCGCAGTGGATTGGGTCACTGCTGTAGTGCTTGATGTAGCACTTCCATTGCTGCTATGAGTGCTGTTTGTAGAAGTGATGGCTGTTGAACTGATGTTGAATGTTGAGGATGTGGCTGATTGGGTTGTCTGAGCATTTTCTGTTGTGTTTAGCTTCCCTGCTGATCCTGTTACATTGCTTTGGTTGGGTCCCAAAGTAGTGGTGGGAGTTGTCCAGTTGTTTTGAGTTGTTGCGCTATCATTGTATGCTGAATAGCTTGATAAATTTGAGACATTTTCGGTGTGGTTTCCTGTTGCATTCAGAGGTGGAGCTATTGTAGTTGTCAAGCTTGATGGTGACATACTGATCCTTTGTGCACCGGTTATATTATTCAAGACAAACGACAACAATATTAGCTGGCCACATACCAAAAGCTGAAGAGTTAACACACCCATAACTGTTGCAACTGCTTGCTCCTTAAAAAAACAAAAACATATACTCAACATAAGTCACAACAGGTCAAGAGATAAGACATACACTTTCATACAGCGCATGACCTAATTCAGTGCATTTTATCTGTATGTGGTGTTGACATGTGGTTTCCTGTTAGGCACTTGCAAAGTTTCCATTTGTCTAGTACTTTTATTTCTGGTAAATAGGTAGCGTCAGGACTTCCTTTGTATTTTATTATTTAAACAGTGTTTTTCTCTTCTTTACCAAAATACCTTTTTTGTACTAGACATTTGAATTATTAATACATTGATTAAAAAAATGAAATGCACACTTTGTTTAAAAGAACACATACAGGAAGTTGGAAGAACATAAGGCATTATAATAGTCTAAAATGGCGCTGACATGAAACTGAAGACAACAAAGAGCCACATGGTTTTGCATAGGCTAAACAAACAGCCATGGGCGACCCATTTATAAATGTCCCCCATCACAGATTTACCCTAATAAAGTGGCTTCCCATAATTTAATTGTTTCGCAGACAATTCTGTTGAATTTACATCCAGTATACATTATTGTTACAAAAGCTGTGTGTTATGGATCTTTTTAAAAGAAACTAATTCTTCTCTTATTTCTTTCTCTCATCTTGCTTTCATTCTCCTACACCCTCTCATTTGTGTAATAGTTGTAGTTTATATAAAAACAGAATTAATATTGGACAAAAGAGCAGAACTTACCTGTAAGCTGAAAGAAATGGTGGTAGTGAAAGCAGGAAGTAGCTGGCAGCAGTTATTACACTCCCCCACCTGCCGCAGGCTCCGCTCTCCACTTCCTGAAGAAAACAGCTCGGCTCCACGTCAAACAAACAGGTAGAGTGGGCCGGCCTTGAATGACTGACTTCCTTTACCGGCATCGAGGAGGCAGGTGTTCAGCCATTGTTTAACCCATGTGTAACCAAAGTGTTTTAACCCTTCACTCTGTTGCACTTGTTTGATTTCAGTGGTTTCGTCCTGAGTGCTACTTTATTTCTCAGTGAGTTTGACACGTAATCATTTGCCAAATTTTATTTCAAAACGATTCAGATTTATTACAAAACCTTTTACAGTATTCAAAACTTGATCATTAAAATCACAGAATTTTGATATAGTTTATGAGAAAAGCCCATATACAGTATAATTTAGCCTATTGACATAAAAATAAAAAGACTAATAAAAATAATTTCTTGCTTCTCTCATGGAAAGGTTTGAAAAGATTGAATGTATCATCATCACTTAACAATTTCAACATACAAAAAATACAATCATAATTTACTATTTACAACATATCCAAAAACTGTTTGTTTTTCACATCAAAACTTAGTGATCTTCTCCTTGTAGTCTTTCTTTTTCAGTGCAATTTCATTGTCGAAGAAAACTGGACTCTCCAGCCCTTGGATATTTTTTGGATCTTTCTCAATTAAGTGTGACACCTAAAAAGAAAAGAATGAAATGCAATTAAATACAAAGTCAGCTTACTGCATGTTGTTATTATTTTATTTTTGGTAACACTTTACAATAAGGTTCATTAGTTAAACATTAGTTAATATATTAACTAACATGAACTAACCATGAGCAATACATTTGTTACTGTATTTCCTAATCTACGCTAACGTTAGTTAATAAAAATACAGATGTTCATGTTAGTTCACAGTGCATTAACTACTGTTAACAAGATTTTAATAATGTATTAGTAAATGTTGAAATTAACATTAACAAAGATTAATAAACGCTGTATAAGTGCAGTTCATTATTAGTTCATGTTAACTAATGTAGTTAACTAATGAACCTTATTGTTAAGTGTTACCTTATTTTTTAACTGAAAAATATTATTTCAGACCTATAAAAAAAACAATGTATAAAAATCAGTTTCTATGAGGGTTTTTTTTTTTTTTTTGGGGGGTCACGCTGGTAATGAAAGCTCTCACCTCTGAGCCTGAGTTTCTGCATCCAAAGCAGATGAGATCTGATTTTCCAATAAAGAGCTCAGGTCGAGCTTTCTCCTGCTTACAGCCACCTAAAGTAAAGATAAATAAGAGTTTAGGTTCAATCTCTGACTCTCTTTGCCACACCTAAAAGAAGATGAGAAAGAGTCACCTTACCTGTGATTGCACTAACTATTAGTCCTGTGACCATGGTCACTATTATGCCCACAGGGCAAAAGTACAGGTAGGACAATGAATACCAGTTGTCTGCCAAAGCTGGTCTTGGCCTGAAGAATGCCATGAGACAAGTTACAGTTAGCTTTGATTTCTGTTTGTTGCATTAAATTGATCAAAAATGACAATAGAGACATTTATAATTTTACAAAAGATTTCTATTTAAAACTATTATTTTTTATTTATATATATTTTTGAAATTTTCTATTTAGCAAAGAATTCTGAAAATGTATCACATTGCCACAAAAACTATTAAGAAATACAGAAATTGTTTTTCAGCATTGATAAGAAATATTTATCGAGTAGAAAATCAGCATATTAGAATGATTTCCTAAAAGACTGGATTAATGGCTGCTGAAAATTCAGCTTTGACATCACAGAAATAAATTAAATTTGAAAATATTTGAAAACAGAAAACAATTATTTTAAATTGTAAAAATATTTTTAAAATTAACTGCAATGACTGCAGGCTTGATGAGCATAAGAGACCCTGACCCCAAACTTTTGAATTGTTTTGTAAATATATACAAATATGGGATTGCTTACTGTGGAGTTGTGGTTTGTAGGACTGTGCTGAATGGTGTCATAGTGGTGGTTTCATTCATATCTGGTGCAATGCATCCTTCCACACTCAAGGAAAGCCGAAGGGTCTTCTCAGGTAAAGGAGGATACACCTGAGCTCCAATTCCCACCCATAACGTTATAGCCAGGCCGGAAATCAAACCAACTAAACCTCCCTGAAGGAACACAGTTAATCCGTATGAATCTGTGGTACTAGCTTAAGCCAGGCCTTAGTTAAATTAAGATATTTAAGCAGCTTTTATTTGCATCTTGAGACAGAACAATCGAACTGACACATTTTAAGATATGTCAGAGCAAGATATTTTCAGTTGAGACAGCTCAAACATGCGTTTTAGTCTGGGACTCGCCTTAAGCCATGTCTGTGAAACCGGGGGAAAGAGTTTAATTTTGGTTTAGTGTTAAAAGTGCATTAAGTACTTTTGTTAATATGACAGTGGTCTTGAAACCCTATTAGTGTGGATGCAGAATGATGTAAAAAGCAAGCATTTTTTAGTTACTGAAGCTACTGTAGAAATACCCTGTTCACAAACAGTCTCTATGGAAAACGTTACTTGGTGCACTTATAAGACACTGGTTATTTGTTGAAAAAGATGCACAAAATGACACTTGAAATGTAGAAATGAGTACATTGAGAGACGTTCTTACCGTGGAGTTCACACAGCGGAAGAACATGCCCAGCAAATAAAGGCCCAAGAGAGGTCCACTGATCATACCAAATATAGACAAAGCTGCCTGTTGAGGAAGGGTTTCATATCATAGCGTGTCATTACAGTCTGTTATCAGCAGAGGGTGCCTTTGAACAGGAACAGTACTGCAATATTGCATTTAAAATGTTGGCTTTTTGTATAGAATAGATTTACCTGCAGTATATTGCCCATCAAAGATGCCACACCAGCCATACCGATGCACACGCCTCCATAGAATACACCTAGAGATAAGCAGCACAGCATTAACACGTCAGTCCATCATCCCCCTCCTCTACCAGGTCCTGCTTCAGTTGTCAGTGTATATCCAGCTGTTGCACTGAAACTCACTCATGCCCATGTTGATCCAGGACAGCTGTCTCTCTGTCAGCCAGGGCCATGCTGGCTTCATGAAGTCCTCCACTGTGACAGCCACCAGAGCGTTGATACTCGACGACACCGTACTGTTGAAACCAGATACAACTAATGCTGACCTGACATCAACAATATTCACATGTAGTGTTACATCATGACTTAACATTTAGAGGATTCCACACTTTGTGTCAGCTAAATTCTCATGTTCTAATTTAAGTATGTTCTGATATTTCAAATCGTTATAATAAATATAATAAAATATATATATATATATTGGATGATGTATAATATATATATATATATATATATATATATAATTTAAAATAATCATAATTTATTGTTATATGTGACCCTGGACCGCAAAACCAATCTTAAGTCCCACGGGTATATTTGTAGCAATAGCCAACAATACATTTTATGGTCAAATTATTAATTTTTCTTTTATGCCAAAAATCATTAGGATATTAAGCAAAGATCATGTTCCTACTGTAAATATATCAAGACTTCATTTTTGATTAGTAATATGCATTGCTAAGGACTTCATTTTGACAACTTTAAAGGTGATTTTCTCAGTATTTTGATTTCTTTGCACCATCAGATTCCAGATTTTCAAATAAATGCATATCTCAGCCAAATATGGTCCTAAGCTAAAAAACCATACATCAATGGAAATCTTAGTTATTTCAGATGATGTATAATACATCTCAATTTAAAAAAGCTGACCATTATGACTGGTTTTGTGGTCCAGGGTCACATATATCAATTTATTAATATTTATCAAATGAATAATAAAAAATAAAAACAACTAACCTATACTATATATATATATATATATAGTGTATAAATTATTATTTTACATTACATTTTTATTACGTTACATTTTTGGTTAAATTTTTTCAATATATATATATATATTCAAAATTATTATTTTATTATTTATTTAATCATGTATTTAATATAGTTTGGTGTATTTATTGTATATGTATATTAAATGTATATTTTACTTGGCTTGGCACTGCTATAACAATTGCCCTTGGTCAGAAAAATATATATATTTCCAATGGGCCTGGTTAGAAAACCTTTCCCAAAATGATGAGGGTGGACTTATCTGACAGACATGTATTTGTTGTTCACCTTAATGTTCCACTGTAAGCTGCAGCCACAAACAATCCAGGCAGTCCTGGGAATTCTGCTAGTATGTCCATCACCAGATAAGGAAGGAGCTGGAGAACATTAGATTTGGTCAGATTAAGTGTAAGCATTGTGAGTACAGATTAAAACGCCACTATTGGGACTTGTATTACCTGGTCTGAAGCTCCTACATCTTTGTTGGTGAAAGGATCGCAGTCTTTATAGATGGAGTACATGGTGAGACCCGAGAACATGGCCAAACTCACTGTCACCCATAATCCCACCATATTCAAATACAGAGATCTGTGTGGGCAAATGTTGACAGGACACTAGTGTTTGCATCATGTTAGCATGAGTGAACTTTTATAATATCATGTCTTGATACTCACAGCTTGGCATGAGTCATTGTCTTACAGGAGATGTAGCGCTGGACCTGTGATTGGTTGATCGAGTACATGGATGCCCACATCAGACTGCCGCCAACAACGATTGTCCAAAAACTATGACGTCTCAAAGGATCAGGATCAAAACTGAAGAACCATTTGAGAGGTTTGTTAGAATATCTGTCTGTTTGTCCATCTGAAGTAGTCTGTATTTAACTGTACATTACTGTTCAGAAGTTTGTGGTCGGTACAAATTGTTTTTGTTCTAATAAATGCTCACCAAGGCTGTTTATTTGATCAAAAATACAGTAAAAACAGTAATATTTTGAATCTTTTGTTACATCATAAATGTCTTGACTGTCACTTCGCATCACTTGAATGCATCCTTGCTAAATAAAAGTATACATTTCTTTAAAAAGTGACCCCAAACTTTTGAACAGTACTGTATTTTAGTGCAGAATTCTTTAC